GCCCTTGAGTTGGCTGCAGCTCACGGGGACCTTACACGTAACAGGGGGAAGCGGCCCCCAGTCCTGCACTGTCCTCATGATGATGTTTGAGTTCACTGTGTGGCTACTGTGTCTGCCCGTCTTCCTGAGAGTTGCCCTTGTGTTTGCTGACCCCCCTACTTTACCAGGCATGATGTTCCTTTAGAGACTGGTTTCTCCTGGTGACGTGTCCAAAGTCAGTTAGGTGAAGTCCGGCCACCCTCACTCCTAAGGAGCATCCTGACACACATTCTGATCCCTACCTGAATGGATGAAGCCACCAACACATGGCGAGATGAAGCCAGTTCCATTGTCACAGGGGTGGTGACAACTCAAAGATGAAGATGGGACCCAGATCCACATGTTTCTCTGGAGACACTGCTGGGTCACACTGCCATTTCTAAATTAACTTATAGGACATTGCCTACAGACTGTCAACCTGGGTTGGAAAATGGGAAGCATAAGTACCGATGGTAAGGAAAGTTCCCAGAAAGACAACAGCACAGAGGCAGGAAGCCAGGCAAGGGAGTGCCTAGAATGTCCCAGGAATGGAAAGTCATGAGTATGGCTTGAATGAAAACGAGGTTGAGAGGTGCTGAGGGGCAAGTGGTGGGGATATTTTTATGTCATCTGAAGATGTCCAACTAAATCAAGAGCTGTTTTTGCCATAAGATGGTTCTAGAGCGCCTAAAGCACTTAACTGCTAACCAGAAGGCTGGTGGTTCAAAACCAATAGCCACTCCTTGGAAGGAAGACAAGGCAATCTACTTCCATAGCAATACCACCTCAGAAACCCAAGGAGGGGTCACTATGAGTGGAAATTGACTCAACGGAAGTGAGGCTTTTTGTTTTTTTAGAGCTTATCCAGAGGATTCATCCACATCTAATGCTGCTTCATCACCAACACCTGTGAACCTAAACTCCACCAGAACAAAACAGTCTTCAACGGTCCTGAAGACAACACACATGCCTGGCCTTCGGGACACAGAGACAAAAGCAAGCTGATGGGAATCCAGATGTAGCAACTTCCTAACGAAAAGCCACGTATCCAGATGTGGTCAAGCCTCGAGGTTTATGTGGCCAGGACAGGGAATGAGCCCCACCTAGTGTAACCCACCTAGTGTAACTCAAGGAGCTCTGGTAGCATAGTGCCTAAGACACTTGACTGATAACCAGAAGGCTGGCGGTTCAAACCCACCAGCCACTCCTCAGGAGGAAGGTTGGGCAATCTACTTCCGTAGTGCTACTGCCTCGGCAACCCAAGGAGGGGTCTCTATGAGTCGGGGCCGACTTGACAGCACATAACAACAGTGTAAGCCAGGATCCCTAGAGGCCATTCCTCCAGTCACCAAGCCTGCAATTACGAGGCCTGCCACCAGGTGGCAGTGGTGCCTAAGGCAGTGTATGAGTGGCTAGTTGAGTTGGAGCATCACAGTTTCATACTGCAAACTGCAAAGTACTTTTTCCTACTTTAGAATGTTCTTTATAAAATATAATGGGAGTTTTCATTAAACACCAATTATACATCTCACTGCCCTCAATTCTCACAGTGACCTTATAAGACAAAGGTGAACTGTTCCATCTGTTTCCAAGGCTGAAATCTTTAAGGAAGTAAGTTGCTTCATCTCTCTCCTGGGAAGCAGCTGGTGGATTTGAACCACCAACTTTCTGGTTAGCAGCCAAGCGCTTAACCACTGCACGACCAGGGCTCCTAAACACCAATTATTTCCATTTGTACTTTTAAGATACACAGAAAATACTCTCTAAAGCAAGGTTAACAACAAGGCATGTGACACCTGAGGGAAAAGTTTAACCACACCTTTGCTTCATTTAATCCAACTGACACTCTCCCCCTGCCCCACTCCCCACACCTGCAGCTACTTGGAAGCTCCATGAGGCCAAGAGCCAGGTCGTAGCATCCTTGGGATTGGATCCCAGTGTCCGGTGCCCTCCCTGGCATGCAACACACTCCCCAGTGTCCGTGTAATGAAGAGCACCTGTTCACAGAGACACATCTCAGGCCTCACTTTGCCAATGACCACCGCATGTGACCACGAACACACAGTCCCTTTGTCTCTTGGGTTCCTCATCTGTAAATGGGGATAAGTATTTCCCAGGGTTGTTGAGGATCCAGTGAGATCATGTACATCAGATACAGTCCAGGCACATGGATGGAAAAGCTCAAGAAATGGTGGCTAACAACTGCATTAACAAATGCTAAGAAGCATAGTGCCAAAGGCACTTGATTGCTAACCAGAAGGCTGGCGGTTCAAACTCACCAGCCACTCTTCAGAAGGAAGATGAAGGAATCTACTTCCATAGTGATACTGCCTCGTAAACCCAAGGAGGGGTCACTGTGAGTCGGGTCCGACTCGATGGCAAATAACACCACCACCAAGAAGAAATCACAACACACTATACTTCTGTTGTTAAAAACTTAGTCTAACCAGCCCAGAGATAAAAAGCATCTTAGCAACAACGCAAATACACCCTCCATGAACGGACAGCTTTTCCTTTATAAAAACAAAACTCACCTCTTCTTTGCAGGGAAGAAACGCCCCGGTGGGCAGGGGCAGCTTAGCCAACTCAG